GGCTATTGTACACCGCAACCTTCCTCAACTGATTGGAATTTCGAACAGAACCCTTTATATTATCCACAAGGGTAGATTGTTCTAGTTCCATGATATATGCCTCTTTGTGAATTCTAGCTGAGAAAGTTTTGTTTTGCTTTGGTTGAAGACCAGTCTCAGAGAATGATAATTTTGGGATTCAAAACTAGCATTGGAATGAACTTCTTCCCACCAGCTGTGGTTCAAACTAGCAAATATTAAGTGAAACAACCATCCCCATCCACCAAAAAAAAAAAAAAAATCTGTGCTAAAATATGGTTGGTACAAAAGAAGAGATGTAAATAATTTTATAGCCTATTAAAAAAAAAGCATTTAATCAAATTTCTTTGTCAATTTACAATGTTCCTCCAGCAATCATATAGATATAAAAAAAAAAATTCACATTAAATTTTAGATATTACATGTCAGACTACAAATTTATTGGTCCCAGTTGTAGAGGACCATGTGGGTTTGAGTGTTGTTTGGTTACGAACACGTGCTGTTTATTCCTGCTAGAAGGTCCAACGACAAGAACAATGCCAGACTCGAGTTGAGTCTAACCGAAGATGTAAAGAAAACAAACAAGACCGATATATATATGTTAACAAATATATGTATTAAACAACAAGATTTACAAGTGACAAAGACATCAACATTTGTGTTTGAACGTAAAGAGTTTGTTCTTTGGTGAATGTTTGTACGTACGTGTATTTGTGTTTCATGGCATTTCCCCATAAGTGGGCGAAAACGCTGATCTCTATGAGAGATCAGATGTTTCAATGTGTCCGCTGAAATGCAAAGTAGAAAAGAGATTGGGGCAAGAAGTTGCCCAGTATTTATAGTGTAGGGAGAGCGTGCCCTAGTGAACAATTAAAGAATTAAGGAGGAGCTAACTCTGACACAGTCACCAAACTCTGGGTAGGATTTGTGACTTGTTAGTCCAGAAGCACCTGCATATATCAAGGTCTTCTGTTAGCCTAAGTAACAGGATTGTATCCATCTCCGACTTTTTAGGCCTGGTATTCCCCAGTTATGACCTAACTGAGTACTGATCAGGTTCAATGTTGCTTAACTTTGGTTATTGGACGGGAACTAGTGTTTCAATATGATATGGCTGTAAGCTCTATTGATGCATCATCACACACAATTATATCAATTCACAAACCTGTTGAAAGGTAATATCTAAATATATACAAACGTGAAGAGTTTTAAATTATAAGTTTATACAAACACATTAGGGTGGACCAACAGCAGCTACACACACAAACAAGGGGAGGACATCATAAACAGTTGGCAATAAATACAAACAGTTTCCAGAAAGGAAAGAAACCCTACATGTAGACTCAATAGAACATTGCAAGCATGTAAATCTTGCACCTCCCCAGAACCTGCAATAAACAACTAATTGAGACAGAGCTGAAAACCCAACTTGAGACATTAGAAATGCACTGAAGAAAAAAAGCCTAACAGCAGGTAAACACATGGGTACAAGCCCACACCTGAAGATACTATAAATAATGCATACAATAAAAACCTATCAGGGGTTTATATTATGCGTACATAGAAGAAGCCAACAGTAGATAAACAATAGGTATGTACTGCTGAAAGCACAATAAGCCACCTGTTAGACGAAAGTGTATTTAAAATCGAAATGAAGGAACCAAACACAGAAATAAACAAAGCCTTTGGCTCATTACAATGACTTATAATCATAAAAGAAGCACTGAAAGTGCAGAGTTTGGTAAATTCACAGTACAAAATTGAATTGAGGCCGTCTGCCATCAGCATTCAACCTATTGGGTTACTGCCAACAGCTGGGAATATTCAGAGGAAACAGCTTTGGCAGAAATGAAAGAGAGAGAGAGAAAGAGAGAGAGAGAGAGAGAGAAAGGATGACAAAGAAAAAAAAAAGAGAAAGAGAAGATGAGAAAAAGACTGACCCGAGCAGTGATTTATTGTGCCTCTACCAGTTAACTGATCCCACTTGTGTGTCAATGCTGTTAATTCTTCTCTTCTGAGAGAGTCTCTGGCTCAGAAAAATACTATTATTGGAGTTATTCCATGCTGGAGATCATATAACTGGCAGAGATTGGTTTGAAATGCACACCAGCCTCAACCACCCAACACACCCAGGTGTTTGCTAAAAGATTCTACAATCTGTTGGAGTTGACATTTGGTTTCCGTTGATACTCTTTCATTCTGTCCAAAAATATAATATAAATTTCTGGATGTTAATCTCTATACCTGCTGTTACAAGGGACAGAAATAAGGAATGAAAAAGGCTTATTTACCAAAATAGTCCCTCAAAATGATTTAAGTTCCTTTTATTTAAATACAGATGTCAACAACAACTTTATGTTTAAAACTTAGGCTTTCTGCACTGAGCCTAAACTTTCAAAAGAGACATTAACATATCCATTAGTTTTTGGCCATTTTCAAATCACTTTGCATTTTTATCATCACATTTTCACCGATCCATTCTTTAGTCATCTTCAAGTAAAATCTGAGAAACCACAGGAAAAATAAATGGATCTGGTGAATAAAGAAACAATTTCATCACTGGTTATTCTAAGAGTTAGATATTTCCTTTGAGTATTGGGTTTAGTATTTCTATAAGAAATAATTGATGATTGTCACCACCATGAGTTTACAAAGAAATAATTCATCCTTTATAGAAACAGGATGTGCAGGTGGTGTAATGGATAGTGGCTTGGAACTAGAAATCGGAGAGCCAAGTTCAAATTCCAGTTGAGTTTGTTATATTCACTTTCACACAAATACTCTTATGGAAGGTATGAATTTATCTCTATTTCTCCCATATTGTAGGTTAAATAGTAAAGCAGACTGGGTTCTTCAGCTTTGGATGGCATCCAGTCTAGGAGAAGGAAAACTCTAAATTTAAAAACTGTAAGTAGACTTGACAAAGTGCATACTATATGCAGATAATAAAAAGAACTCTGGAGTTCACAATAACCCTATGATCCCAACTAGTATGTGGAGATTATATATATATATATATATAAAAATTAAAACAAAAAGTGGCCCATGTGTGCTTCTTATAATATATAGATTTAATAAGCTAGTTAACAAAATTTGAAGAATAAAAAGCCAACAAAATGATAACAATACTGTCAATAAAACTGATATTTATCATATATTAACTTTTTGACTGAATTGAAGCATAAAGAAAAAGATGTCAGAATTTTCTTCTTTAATCTATTTAAGAAGCACACATGGACCTACTTTTGTTTTAATATATATATATATATATATATATATATATATATATATATATACTTGGAGAAGTGAATTAACAGGAGATAACTGACATCCATTAAACATGGCATGTGGAACTGGAACAGTCTACCCCAGTGAGCAAAATAAGGGTTCAGTTCTACATTCCAACAACCTGAAGATGGTTGAAACGTTGTGATAAATATGGCAACAAAGATGAGGACAATAGCCTGAATAATGTAAATAGTATAAATTAATAAACTCTAAATGAAATACCAGTTGTTCTTGTCTGTATAGTTTTCACTGAAAACCCAATAGGATGTTCCAAAAATAAATTTCCAATTCCATGCAAAATTCCATTTTATGAACAACCTAGGCTCAGTAATGATGCTTCTCTTGAGAAAAGGGATTTTTAAGTCCATATATAAAATTACAAGTGTTTAAATATTTCCTCTCTGAAGATATATAACCAATTACTCTGGAAAGAAGAGGGATTTCAGATTTTTCCTCCAAGTGACCTTTGGGTCCCTTAAGGCTATTCATGCCCTTTGATCTCTAAGACCTCCACACTAGCATGTCTGCTTTTCACTTTAAAAAAAAATGCTGAGATAGTGTGGAAGACAGACAGCCTGTGGGTAGGAGATAGCATAATTATGGAATAGCAATATGTCAAGTGGATGTACCCCACCCCTAACAGCATATTGGACTGAGCCAAATTAAGTAACTTCAATGTTTGCCAGTAGGAATAAGGGTGACATTAACACTGTAAAGTTCCTTTTCTACCCCTCAGAAACAGGGAGAAGTGGTGGGAGGTAATCTGATAATCAGGGGTCAACAATTGCTCCCTGTCCTATCAGATAACTAGCCCCAGGAGGATGTGGTATATTTAAACTAGCCTTATCTAGATAAACAGGGTCAATACTTAGGATAACACTCTATAATCCTTGAGATAGACCAGCAGATAAAGACCTAATCCTCCCACAACCTGGCCTCCTACACATGTAATGATAGAAGATAAGAGCCAGTTTTTGGGGGGAGATGGTAGGTTAAAATAACAACCTTCTACTATCAAGGCTTAACCTTCTTAGACATCCCCAGATTTCCTTTTAAACTCAAACCTTTCCAGTTTGCATCATATCTATGCAGATGTTGCTGATACTATTACTACTACACTCACTAAGTGCATATAGCAGAAGCTACTGGTTACTTACAGTGGAGGTTAAGTGGAAGCAAGCATCTTCAACATACACTTATTAACATTATTATTAAAAAGGAAATTTGTAATTTTAAAAGCTTTTTAAAATATTTACATGCATGTTTTCATGTAAAATATACTGAAAGATTTTTGCTTTTAACTTTTTTTTATAAAATGAAAAAAAAAAAATAAAAAAATAAAAAACGCAAAGAACTATACCAAATAACAGAAACCACATAACTAGAGGGACTTTCAACAGCAGCTAAAATTTTAAAATATTTTAAATTAACCATGTATTAAATTGACTGATACATTCATTTTCTATGGCTTCTAAGCCTTTTGCAGGTTAACATTTCCCCTCCTCCTAAGAACATGACAAATGAAGTTCTATGTCTCAACATTCATCAATAAAATCACATCCTATTTGCTTGAAATCTTTTTTTTAATTTGAGATGAAACTGTCGGATATTTATACAGGATGAAGGAGTATTGCGGCCCAGCGGCGTTTTCTTTGTTTCTAATGTTGTCTTTCAATCTTTTAATACTTGAGGCTTATGGTCATATAGTGTTGAAACACAGGTTACTGTATGATCACAAAAAGTTAAGCAATCTCAAGCCTGGTCAGTACCTAGATGGGTGACCACTTGGGAATACCAGGTGCTGTAAACATGGATGTGCGGTTGGTGTAATGGATAATGGTTCAAAATTATTAATCAAAGAAGCAAGTCCCAATACCAATTATATTCACCTATGTTCAAATACCCTTGGGAAAGCTATAAATCCATCTCTTCTCCCCACAGCTATAGGTTAATTAATAAGACTTGGATTGGTTTGATTTATTTTGTTTAATTGCATATCAACCTCAATGGGTTATTTAATGCTGACAAAGATTTTTATTGCTGGTAATATATTTTCTTCAAAATTGTATTGCTGGTAATAATTTTTTTAAAAAAGTATTGTTGGTAATAGTTAACTATTTGCCCATAGCTAGGACCCTAACAGGTGCTACCACCCCGGGTCAGGGTGGACCTGGGAACACCAGCAATTAAGAGGTGGTTCCACGCTCCTCAAAGGCTCCTGATCAGAGGCCTTGCTGTTGGTCGCAGTTTATCGTCTTACCCTGGACACGGATGTAGTTTATTGTCATACACAGGACAGGGTCTGGCTGGGACCCTGATGAAATAACTATAATTAGGAAAAAAAAAAAAAACCAATAATAATGATGATATTACAGTATTATGGAGTTAGACAAGACACAAGTGATGGTAATCTACATCATCTGGGTAAGTCTTCTTTCCTTCATTAGGATGTCATGCAAGATACACATTTAGGCAATCATATCTCTCTTCGATTCTTGGTTAATATGGAAGAATTCTCATACTATGCTGCAGTTACTTTCTGTGGTAGAATACCAACCTTGGGTATAAGATTCAGTCTATTTAACCCATAGCTAGGGGAAAGAGATAAATTCATACCTTTCCCAATGATATTTGCACATAAATGAATGTAAAATGAATGTATTGCTGCTGGACGTAGTTTAACGTCTTACCCAGGACCCACATTCTCTGGAATATAAATGCATAGAAACTACCGTGGCCACAAAATGAGGGATCAGTTTATATATTGATTGTGATTTAGAATTGATCCCCCACTTTATAATTTCTTGTTTATCAAATTTGGATTAGGTCTGACGCCATTCCCCCACCTCCAGATATGGATTAATTACCAAAACTTGTATCACTAAATCATTATTATCTCAAAAAAATCTTAAAACCTAAAAATATTTTCTGGGTTTAAATAACCTGCAAAGGGTTGATAAGCCATAGAAAATGAATGAATCAATTAATTTAATACCTGGTTAATTTTTTTTGTTAAGTGTATTTCACTATCTTAAGCACTTTTTGATTTGTGTGTCGTGCAAATTCTATTTAAATTATTATCAACCTTTGTCTGCAGAAGAAGAATCTTAAAATTTTATAATGAATCCAACTCTTTGCTTGCCGAGCATAAAAATAAAATCATTGTTCTGAATATTTAATTCGAATCAAAAATCAGGAAATGAATAAACTAACCTTGAAAATCTACAAGGATATTTTTCTCTGTGCTGTTTAATAATAAGGAAAAGGTTTCACAGAGTGCCAGTCAAAAACTTTTGACAGAAAGAGCTTTTGAAGGGAGCTTGATTTTTACTTTTGCTCTGAATGAAGAATGACTGACTGCTGACACAGAAAATGAATAAAACTAATACCCAGTTCAAAATCATTAGTGTATATTATCAAGTGTTAACAAGGGGGTCTAATTGGGCCCTAAATACCTATTATTAGACACCAGACAAATACTGAAGTTGACATTCACACATCAAAGCTGTTATGAGAAAACCTGAGTTCAGTCAAGACAAGGTTATGAATGAATAAAGGGGGAAAGATTTCCTGAATAGTTTTTGATAGGAATAGAGATGAGAGTAAAGTTGCCCTTTAGTCAACATCAGAACAATTCAGATGAGTCAGGGAAAACGGATGATGACATTAAATAAAACATACATGAACAACTGTTCTTTTTTTTTTTTTTTTTTTTAACTACAAGTCAATACAGTTTATGGAAATATTTTCAGTGAGAGAAATTGTAAATTCTCATGATTTTTTTTTTATATATAATCAAGAAACTCAACTGACAAGAAAGCGATTATGATAGAAATTCTTTCTTTTTCTTTAAAACATTTTCAAAGAACATATATCTATATTTGAGAAGCATTTTGTTTTTTGTCTCAGAATTAAAGTCATCATTTCAGGAATTATTTCAAACATCTTCATCTTTGTTGTTTTGATCCAGCCTTGCCACAAGAATGATATTCAGTCAGAAATAATTTATGCATAATTGAAAATACTTTCATGAATCTTTTCATTAGTTTTCTGAAAATGAAAAATGAAAAATGGCTAATAATGTAAGAAAATTTATAGATTACAAAACTGAAGAAACTGTAAGAGTTATGGTTAGAAGGTTTATCCGTTACAGATGAGAGTTTATCTCATGACAAAATGTCTGTTGCCACCATATATCAGTAGAACTGATTTGCGTCTGTAATTGGCCTTTGTGTATTGATTAAAAGAAAATACAGAGAGCATTGATAAATATAAAAGAAATCTTTATATAAGACAATAAAAATACAAAAGGATAAAAGCAAAAGTTTAAGTTTTCAGAGATCAAGTGTAAAAATCCATGCACATGAGAGAGAAAAGATCCAGGAGGAAGTGTGTGTGTGTGTCTGTGTATATATATATATATATATATATATATATATATATATATATATATATATATATATGATAGAAATTATTAGGAGGATTTGATAATTATATTTAAGTAATTCATCGAGTCTGATAGAAACCTCAACAGAATGCAGAAAGCACTGGACGGCCCCGTTTAGGTCCTATATTTGAGACTCATTAGCAGTGTGCATGATAAATTTTATCATGTACATCATTGCATGAACCAGCTTCTAATGCTCTAGAGTAAGCGGCTTGGTGAGAGTAGTTGTGGCTCCTGGGGGCACAGTCCTATGGTTACAGAGAACTCAGTAAGAGTTCCACCACGGAATATGTGAGCGAGCGGTGCTATATTGAGTCCGATTTGCAATCTCTTCATCACCGAGGCCTGGTGGAACAGTTGTTATGATGTTTACTTGACAACCTAACTGTCAGAGTTTCAATTCTCAGTAGTGGATGCGCACTGCTGATGAGTCCCAAATATAGGACAAAACGGCCGTCCAGTGCTTTCTGCATTCTGTTGAGATTTCTTTCAGACTCAATGAATTACTTAAAATATATGTATGTATGTATACACACACACACACACACACACATATATATATATATAAATAAATAAATAAATAAATAAATAAATGTAGTAGCCACCACTAAACCTTGTAGCAAAGGAAGGTTTAGTCATGTAATGTCACCAGTAAATTGTGCAAATGTTGTATTTTGTCTCTGGGTATGTTATGATGACTGCAGCATTGGAGAATGACAATATTAATTTATCAAGTCTGGTTTTGGTTAAATTTCAATCTTTTTATATACATATGTATGGATCCACTTTGAAAAGGCCACTCACTTCTCATTGGCTTGTGGGCTTTTATCCTGGTTATGAAAAGCTTTCTGATGAGCTGGTTAAAATATGGCTTTGTTTGCCTGGTGATTTTTATTATCTGTCTATTTTTAGAGATTGTGAAATTCTGGTCCTTTTATTTTTATTTATCTATTTTTCCATCACTACAAACCATATGTGAGAAAAGAAGATATTAAATTTAATAAAAGATGACAGGCATGATTAAGGCAACAGATAAATGAATGAAAAGTCAAAAGTCAATGTCATCAAGAGGTGAGGGAAGGGGATTGAAAATCTGATTAAAATCTGTAGTTGTCAAGTTTCAGGACAATGATTACCCACTTCTAATACAAATGTCAATTGAGTCAGAGTTTTATATTCTGTAACTTCTCCAGATGACCTCTTCTAAAAAACAAATTACTGCCTTACTCTCCAAAAAAAAATTACTGCCTTACTCTCAAAAAAAAAAAAAAAAAAAAAAACACTTTTTACTTTTTTTTTTGCTTCAGAAAAACAAACCAGTTTGACTTGAGCACACATCATTTAGAGAAGAATAAAGAAAACCAATGTGAAAAGGATTGAAATATAACTTGGCCTGCTACAGATTTCCAAAAGAGTTAGTTTCATTATTGTTTAAACTTTAAGGTAGTCAGGGTATATAGGAAATACTAAAAAGAATATAAATTATAAAGTGTTGCTAACAATGAGGATATTTTTTTTGGGGGAGAAGGTTTAGAGAGTTTAACACTCACAGGACACATAAAAACCAAGAAACGTAGAGGAAAATAGTTAAAACAAATGGAGGAACAAGTATCAGAAAGATAAAGACAGGGTTATAAATGATCAAATATTGCTAAAAACAAACAAAAGACAGGAAAGGATTACTCATATCCTATTGGGACATGGCATACAGATAAAGAGAGACTGAGATTATTGGCTTGTTTCAATGTTGCCCTTGAGGTTAACATTTATTTGTTTCTTCTGCCTGGAAGTGTGGTCACTTCTATATCAAGCATCATGGGAGATCAGCATAGAGATATTTTGGTAAGACATTTGGCCTGTGGTCAAGAGCAGAGATAAAAATGGATTTTTACCTTTTTGAAAAGATCATTTTTTAACAGGTAGAATTTCAAATACTGCACCAATTTACATTTACTATTATACCATTCAACACCTCAAAGCTCCAGAAGACCAGGTTGCACTGCCAAATTTTAGTAAAGCAGCACGCACCTCACAAGGTACAATAAACCAGCATGCATCCTCAATCACTAATAAACCAGCTTGCACCTCTAATACATCAGCCTGCAAACTCTGTGGTTGATGAAAATATTTTCATTTTTGACTTCAATATATTTAACTTTTTACTTATAGGAAATCAAATTGAATTTTGGCAAATTTTTGACAGAAATAGAGAAAAAAAATAGAGAGAAATTGAGAGAGAATTGGATAGAAAAACTGATATATTAACACACACACATATATATATATATAAATATATGAAAAGTGTGTATAAATATAAATAAATATATATATATGTATAATTATTTATATATTATATGCGCGGTACTTATTAGAAAGCGCTCAATATCAGAGATAGAGCTAACATATTTGGTTGGATAGATGTGAGTTTGTGACCCTGGGTTTTGTCTTTAGCGATCGTCAGACAATTTGACAGTTTGTCTGAGGATCACAAACCCACATCTATATCCAATCTCATCCAATATATATATATATATATATATATATATATATATATATATATATATATATATATAGAGAGAGAGAGAGATACACATGGTGGCAGAGAAACATAAATAGATAAATAGAGAGATAGACATGATAAATAGAAATTGACAAAGAGTGAGAAAAAGAAAAATGGTGAGACAGACTGAAGAACCATGTTCTTCAGTCTAAGACAATACATGTGCCCACAGAACTTGTGAAAAAAGAGGTTTTAAAGAATTTGAACTTTGAATGAATAGACCTATCTATCCTTCTTACCCAATCATTTTTTCTTTTTCAGATAATTATTATAAAGTTTGAAAGAAAGGAACTATTTGAATGCCTTGGAATTGATAACAATAAAAGAGCCGGGTTTCAATATGAAAAAAAAAATAAAAATAAAAATCGCAATTTTGAAAGATTTGAACAAACTTGACAAATCATGTACCAAATCTGTTGAAATTTGTGCTGAACATGTGAAATGACATCATTATAGCATGGCTCAAGGTCATTTCCTTTTTGGCACCCAACCATTGTGTATAGATATCCAATTATTATTGCCAGAAAACCATCTTCAGTCATTATCTTATTGCTGAACTATTGTCAACCTGCTGAAAGTGTTGTGTGTGTGTGTATATATATATATATATATATATATATATATATATATATATATATATATACACACAGTACTTATTGGAAAGCACTCAATATCAGTGATAAGCAAACATATTCAGTCATATGTATATAAGTTATATCCATACAACTGAATATATATTCACACAGTTACAAACTCATATTGATACAACTGAATATATATATAAGCTATAATTCTAGTGATTCAGATGAACAAATTTTCTTTGAGGCATTATATCTCTTATGAAAAGGATTCAATTTCATGACACTGGCAATTCTATTTTCAAATCCTTCTACAAAGGTTAGAATGTGAATAAGATTTGTTGTAGTTTTGCAAATGCAATTTATACTCTACACTAGCATTAATTGAAAATGTGAAACATTCTTTTATTAAATATACCTGAAAATTAGATATTGTTTTGATCAAAGTAAAATGTAACCAAAATGATTTGTAAAAGTTATAGACTTGGTAATAACGGACAAACATATAGATCTAGTTGGATAAAAGTTTTTGAATTGCAAGTTATTAAAAATACTTTTGGCATTGCATCCATTTTTATATGTTTTTAAAAGAATTAATATCAATAACAAAGGAAGAGTAAATAAAATCATACACTTACCTGGGCATCTTGAGAATGCTCACCACCGTATGGCAAATGACTCCGTGGGAATATATTTTTCTGATAACGTGGAAACTAAAAAGATAAGGAAAAAAATGGTTCGAATTTATTCATTTTGACTATTTTTTAAAATAAGTTGCCAGTTAATTTTACTAAGTGTTCAAAATTTGGAAAGAGAGAAAAAAATTCTTGAAGCAAGAGCAGAAAAAAAAGACCATGAAAGTTTATTTTTTTTTTATTTTTTTTTTTTCAAAGCAATTTCCAGAGGTTTTGCAACAGTAAAAAGAAAAATAAAGGATTTCTTATAGCTCTTACACTAACTGTAAATTTTTAAGATGAAAGAGAAGATTTTTTTATTTCCATTTTTTTTAAAGAGACTTTAAATTCTTGCATTTCAGACATTTAGATTTTTGTCATCATAAAGTTTCAATATGTTCAGAAAAACATGAAATAAATTCACTTACTTTGAAATAACATCTAAAGAAATAGAAATTAGTGTGTGCACACACATGTATGGGGGGGCAGTTGTGTCGGTATGAATAGCGAGAGTTATGTATGTAAAAATTATGTGTATTTATTGAAAATAGCGTTGAAATAATTTGGCTTGAAATAGACTAGAATTTGTAATTGGCTCAGATGCAAAGTGGTTGCAAAATCATTTCCATTCGTCTGATAAAGAGAAATTTTTAAAAGATGAGCAAATGAAATCTTTCTGAAATAAAGATGGGGGGGGGGGAGAAATAAGGATATTTGGAAAGTTTTATTTTCTTTGTTGCTATGGAAATTACATCAAAAAGATAAAGTCATGCCAACCAATTTGGTTGAGAAATAGATAATATTAAAGATAATAAACCTGCTAAATCATTTGAAAGAAACTCTCAATCTTTACTGGGAGCGCTTTAAGCCAATTGGCCTTGTGACAAACTAAGCTTAGTAAATATTGACTTGGGCTATGCTAGTAACCAAAGTTTGCTTTATAGACAGACCCTTTATTGTGACCTTGAACTATACAAAGTTAAAATTACTACAACCTTAAGGGTAAATAAAATAAATTTGAAAGTTATTTACTTAGTATGTAATTAGTTAAAAAACACTGAGAACTCACGATTTAGGTTCAGATAAAATATCTTAAAGAAGTTTGGAAAAAAAATCTCAAATGCATATATACATATTTATAAAAGATGCTTGAAAAAGACGTGTAAAGATTTTACAGATGAATATAATATAGGCACAAGTGAATGGTGAAATGTTTTTCACCTGAGTAAAAACCTTTTAAAAAATGAAGCAGATTTGATGCGTGGTCATTTAGCCAAATTTTGGCAAGTGGTTTGGTTGAAGAACATTTCACTGCTCTCTTGTATATATGTGCATGTATGCATGTGAGATTGCTGCCACCTTCTTGTCATTGAATATGACCATCAGAAGAGAGACCATTGTAAGACTGAGTTGGGCTTTGAACATATGTGGCTCTTTAAAACAAATTTAATTTTTAAATATATGACACAAAATTGACAGAAATGAAAATCATACATATGCACGCAAAAAACTTAAATTCGGTTGTGCACTCTTGGAAGATAAGTACGAATTTGTAAACAATGACTACTACTACTAATATTACAAGGATCTTCTCCTCCTTCGAATTGAGCACTGTCAGTCATTGGTGTGTTTATCCATAGAATAAGTACATAAAAATTCGGCTTTCTTTCAACAGTGTGCTGATAGCTTAAGGGAAAAATATCTGACTGTTGCCAAATCAGTTGGGCTTCAATCAATTGGATGTCTAGCCACACTGATGAGCTGTTATACAGTGAAATAGTCTGAAATGGATGACTATATATATATATATATATATATATATATATTATGAAATATATAAAATATTTGTTGAATTTAGTCTATTTTCTGTTTATACATTATTTTTAGAGATATAAATATTTCAGTAAATGCTCTGTTTATAATAAACATTATTAACTACATGTACAGGCCTGAGAAATTTCATAGAAAATATGTATCCTCCAACAGGAATTGAATACGTATCCTACACAGAACCATCATATAATAATGCATAAACAGAAAATATATTAAAATTGTGTGTGTGTGTGTGTATACATATATATATATATATATATATATATGAACAAACATACATACTTAGACTGATGTGTAGATTTTTTGAAGATGTGTGTTTGCTTATACACAAACAAAAGAAAAAAAGAAAAATAAGAGTTTGTTTTTCTTTTGCTTTCCATAAATGTATTACAATTTATTAAACAAAACTCTTCACAACCATATTACATTTTGAGAGAGAGAGAGAGAAAATGTGTTTAATATTTAAACATGATACAAGTGAAAACAAGAATCCAACCAACTTTCACCATTACACACATGATGATGATGATAGAACAACAGAGTAGGGGTGGCTGTGAAACATGTAAATAAATAGATAAATATCTGTGTATACTTCAAATATATCCAATTGTGTGCGTGTGTGTGTGAAATCATTTTTTCTTCTCCTTAAACTTTGCTTGTTTTTCTCTAAGACTAGCATTTTTTTTCTCCTTCTCTCTGGTGGTGGTGGTGGGGGGATGGCAAAAAGAGGGGGGTAAAAAAGAGAAAAATGAAAGAAAGAGTGTTTGCTTGTTATTACTTGGAAAACAAATTCCATGAACAAGCCACACAGAATATTTGCTTGATAGAGCAGTAAATGACATTACCATATTGGGAGGTGGTTGGTGGTTGGGGGTGGATAGAAAATGATGATGATGATGATGATGATGAATGCTACAAAAGAGGTGAAAGAAAGAAAGATAAATATTGCAAAGCCATTTGAGAAAGAACTGGTTAGTGTTGGGTGAGGATGTGGAGTGAAAACCCACTTAAATTGTACACTACACTCAGTGGTGATAAATATCAGATAAATAAATCTTGAAAAAAGGAATAAAAAAAAAAAAAGGTGTTAATAACCTTTCACGAGTGAAAGAATTTTCAATATTTGCAGTATTTTGAATTAGAGAGAAAAATTAGAATAAAAGAAAAACATAAAATATGAATATAAAGAGGAGGATGAAGACAAGAGGAGAAAAAGTGAGAGAGGATAGAGAGAGATGGATGGAAGGCAGAGAGAGAGAAGAAAAGGAGAAGAAAGAATACAGAGAGAGGGGAAGTGAGATAATAGAGAGAGACAAGCGAAAGTACAGAGAGAGAGAGAGACAAGCGAAAGTACAGAGAGAGAGAGAGACAAGCGAAAGTACAGAGAGAGAGAGAGAGACAAGCGAAAGTACAGAGAGAGAGAGAGAGACAAGCGAAAGTACAGAGAGAGAGAGAGACAAGCGAAAGTACAGAGAGAGAGAGAGACAAGCGAAAGTACAGAGAGAGAGAGAGACAAGCGAAAGTACAGAGAGAGAGAGACAAGCGAAAGTACAGAGAGAGAGAGACAAGGAAAGTACAGAGAGAGAGAGAGACAAGGAAGACAGAGAGAGAGAGAGAGAGACAAGGAAAGTACAGAGAGAGAGAGACAAGGAAAGTATAGAGAGAGAGACAAGGAAAGTACAGAGAGAGAGAGAGACAAGCGAAAGTACAGAGAGAGAGAGAGAGAAGGAAAGTACAGAGAGAGAGAGAGACAAGGAAAAGTACAGAGAGAGAGAGAGACAAGGAAAGTACAGAGAGAGAGAGAAAGTACAGAGAGAGAGAGAGACAAGCAAGTACAGAGAGAGAGAGAGAGACAAGGAAAGTACAGAGAGAGAGAGAGAGACAAGGAAAGTACAGAGAGAGAGAGAGAGACAAGCAAAAGAGAGAGAGAGAGAGAGACAAGAGAGAAGTACAGAGAGAGAGAGAGAGACAAGTAAAAGAGAGAGAGAGAGAGAGAGAGAGAGAAAGCACAGACAGAGAGAGAGAGACAGAGCAAAAGTACAGAGAGAGAGACAAGACAAAAAGTACAGAGAGAGACAAGCAAAAGTACAGAGAGAGAGACAAGCAAAAGTAAAGTAGAGAGAGAGACAAGCAAAAGTACAGAGAGAGAGACAAGCAAAAGTACAGAGAGAGAGACAAGCGAAAGTACAGAGAGAGAGACAAGCGAAAGTACAGAGAGAGAGACAAGCGAAAGTACAGAGAGAGAGACAAGCGAAAGTACAGAGAGAGAGACAAGCGAAAGTAGAGAGAGAGAGAAGCGAAAGTAGAGAGAGAGAGAGACAAGCGAAAGTACAGAGAGAGAGACAAGCGAAAGTACAGAGAGAGAGAAACGAAAGTACAGAGAGAGAGAGAGAAACGAAAGTACAGAGAGAGAGAGAGAAACGAAAGTACAGAGAGAGAGAGAGAAAAAGAAAGAGAGAGAGAGAGAAAGTACAGAAAGAAAAAGAAATTACAGAGAGAGAGAGAGAAACGAAAGTACAGAGAGAGAGAGAGAAACGAAAGTACAGAGAGAGAGAGAGAAACGAAAGTAAAGTGAACGAGAGAAGCGAAACTACAGAGAGAAGCAATATATATACAGAGAGAGAAGCAATATATATATATATATATATATATATATATATATATATATATATATATAGATAGAGAGAGAGAGAGAAAGAGAGATTGATAGATAGAGAGACGTGATATACAGAGAGGAAAAGAGAGAAAGAGGAAAAGATATATATATATATATATATATATATAGAGAGAGAGAGAGAGGAAAAGAAAGAATAGGGAGATATACATAGATCAAGGAAAAGAATGAGCATGAGGAGGAAGATAATAAAGGGGGTGAGAGAGAGAAAGAGAGGAATTGACTAAAATATCATTTACAAATTTATTCATTCAACATTTTAGCCTTTCATTTGTCTTTCCTTTACCAATGTAAAACAATTTTAATGGCAACTTGATTATTAAAACACATGAAGAAGAAAATTTCTTTCGAAAAAATAAGAAGCAACAGACAATGTTTAAAAAAAAAAACAGTTAAAAGAAAGAAAATGTTGCTTCTTTCCAAACACCTCTGTGGTTAATCAAAAGCCTTATCAATGCATTTGCCAGGAGCGAGTTAGATGAAGAACGTTATGTTCAAAACTTTCATGAATTTCATTTAACACAATTTTTTTTTTCTTTTTAAACTAATGACAAGTGGTTGTTGGGAAACTCATGAGAGATGAATGATGGCGCTACTTATTTCATCAAAAAGATATAAAATACAAAAATTAAAACAAAAAGAAAAAACTTTTCCTAACCAATTATTGATAAATCTATCTCATCAATCAGAAAACTGTAGGACTTTAAACAAAAGGAAAATATTTATAAGAAATTATAAACTCTGAAGATAGAATCTTTATCGAGTATCAATTTCATATTCTTATCACCAGATACCAACTCATGATCAGGACTCTCCACGACTTCCTATCCTTTATAGCTCATAGTTTGTCTTTTTCATTATCTCTACTAAACCCATTTTATTTGCTAGTGCAAATAAAAAAAATACAATGTAATAAACTAACTTTTATTACATAAGAATACATTTGTAAGTATATATTCAGAACATTTACAAAGAATTAATAAAGTCATGTGCATGTAGAATTTTAAAATAAAACAGACTTAAATTGACTTTAATAGGAAATTTAAATTTAGGGACAATGTTAAATATTTGATCAAATTATAGGGATTTTATTTTTAAAGATTTTAATATTTTTGCTAATCTTGTTATTTCAATTTTAAATCACTAAGTCCCATCTACAAACAATCCCCTAGTCATAACGTGTTTTGTTTGGTTTACTGCATATGAATCACAATGGATTATTTAATGCTGACAGAATTTCCTTTTTTTTCCCAAAAATGTATAGTTTGGTTTGTTTTGTGGCATATTGACCTCAGTGGGTTATTTAATGCTGACAAGATTTTTATTTCTCGTAATATTTTCTTTTTTCAAATATTTATTGCTGATACTAATTTTTTAAAAACTATTTCTGGTATTAAAATCTATTTTTCACATTCATAATGTTTTGAGTCAGGTTGTGGGGTCAACTATTTGCCCATAGCTGGGACCCTAACAGGTGCTACCACCCTGGATCAGGGTGGACCTGGAAACACTAGCAATTAAGAGGTGGTTCCATGTCCCTCAAAATGTGATCAGAGGCCTTGCACTTGGACGTAGTTTATCGTCTTACCCAGGATGCGGATGCAGTTTATAGTCATACCCAGGACGGTATATAATCTGTTGGGTTAAAGGATTTAAATAAATAAAAACAAGGGAGGTAATGAAATGACTAGGAAATATACTTATGAAAATTTTTCTGGTGTAAAGTAAAATTGAGTGATTGATTTGTTTTTATGGTTTATCAACCCTTTGCAGGTTATTTAGAGCCAGAAAATATTTTTAGATTGTAAGAATTTTTTTTTACTTTTTATTTTATTTTATTTTTTTTGCAGATAATAATTTAGTGAGACAAGTCTTACTAATTAATCCATAGCTCAGGGGAGAAGAGGTGGATTCATACCTTTCCCAAGAGCATTTGCTCGTAAGTGAATATAACAAACCCAACAAGAATTGGAACTCGGCTCTCCAATTAACAATTCCGAGCTATTATCCATTACGCCAACTGCACATCCAAGCTTACAGTACCTGGTATTCCCAAGCAGCTACTTACCAGGATCGACTTCAGTTGCTTAACTTCAGTAATCCTATGTGAACCATTGTTGGTGTAAAGTAAAAGTATTCTTTTATAAGACACAAAGATCAGAATATGAACCAAATTGAGTGCTATAAAAAGTTGTTTTTCTTTTCTAAAGCACAAAAAATAAATAGTTATAATAAAAATTCCTGAATAAAATCTGGTTATTGGAAAAAAAAAAAAATAAGAATGCATCTGAAAGAGACTCAACTTGTTGATTTATGCCAATTTATTAGAATCTTTTGAAATAAATCCAGAATTCCAAACAACCCTTAAAACTGAGCCAAAAGATGAAAAGTGCTGACAAGAGAAAATTTCTTTATCTGCTGTTTTTATCTATTTTGTTCATGAAGCAACAAAATTAGCCAATTGCCTCTTTCACAAACATCTTCAGAAAGATGTAATTCTCTCAGGAAAAAACGAGATGTAAATCTATTTGCTCTTATTATCTATTTAGTAGAAATAACAGGTGAGATATGTTTGTGTCTTGGACAGGTGAAAAATGGAAGAATCAAGATAAGAAACATCTACTTTTTCAGTTTGTCTTTCTTGTCAAAGTAAAAATACACAGAACTAGCAAAAAAAAAAATAAAAAAAATGAAAAAAAATAAAAAGAAAAAAAATCAATAGTCAAGGTTCAAAAGATTGTTTTTAATAATCTTAGTCACTCACAGGTAAAACAATCTTTTGAGCCATGGCTGTTGATTCTTCACTTGTTCTGTGTATTATAATCTGGCACAAGGTTATTATAACTGAGCACCCATGAGGATTGAACTCACAAAATACATTGTGATCATAGACACCTAATGATGGTCTATAGCTGAGTTTCTATGTAAAGAATTTAAAGTTTTACACTTCGAGATATTTTTTTCAAGGAATAAACAAGATCTTTTAACTATTTCACATCTCTCTCACTTTCTGATTTAAATACAGACTGTATATTATTTTTTTTTTCAGATATGAAGGAAAAATTAAAAGTAGATACTAGCATTCATGCTGGGTTGACCAAAATGTAAGTTACGGCTTATTAACTAAAATAAAATATTTTTCACAGATAACTTTCCTGAACAATGTATTTGCTATTTTTGTTTCACTATTTTCTCCAATTTTCCAAGCAATTTCCTCCAACAGCATTTTATTTTTCTCAGCAAAGAACTGCTCTTGGAAGTTCTATTTCACTTTTGCAGATTTCCACTGAAGACTTTGCAGATTTCCACAGAATTCATTTCTTTTATTCATTAAGCAAATTCTTTAAAGACCAGAAGAAATGGTCATTGCTGTATTTGTGAAAAATTCTCATTTAAGTTCCAACCTCAGCTTAATGATTAATAAAACCCATTAATAAATTAGATTAACTCACTAAGATTATCCTGATTAAAATAGGATGCTATTTCTTTTCATTCATTCCAAGCAACTGGCTTAACTGAGAGCAGTACTTGTTTGAATCAATCATTTGCTTCTCTGGAAAGAGCTCATGACAAAGCACTCCCTTATAATTTGATCATATGTATAACATCACCACTTTTGGATAAAAAATGGCCTTTGGTAGTTTTTTCTTTTGTGGGGGGTTCATTTGCCCCCATATTCTAATGTTAAAAGGATAAACCTTATTAATAACCATCTAAGAGAAAGCAGCAAACTTTTCAACCAACTCAGTACAAATGAATACAACACAATACTTCAGGCCATTGCACATACAATCAGTCACACTCTCACTCTCTCTCTCTCATACAAAGCAAAATAGAAACACTTGGCTAGATGCACTAATTTACCCTTGAAGCTAACAACTTGCTCCCCACTTCACATTAACATCAATAAACAATTTGATTCATGCTTTCATTTTTGTAAATCACTTACACATCCTCTTTAATAACTTCCTTCGTTCTTACAAATGCATTATCGTGCAGATACTGCTGCTCTCTCATCTGCACACATATGCGCTACAAACGTTTTTCTTTGATATACATAACCACTCCCTTCCATTACCATTTAGACAAGTTCATACCCGCAAATTCCCACTGGCCCACATACACCCAAACAAACATACACACGCACACAAAAGCTGTTCACCTACAAAGAGCTTTTGCCAATCATCCATCCAGCTCATAAAATCCCATCTTATTGATGAGCTGATCATACAGTCATAAAATGTTATTGAAAACACTGTAATAAGACTCGTTAGAGCCGGGCCAACATCAATAATTCGGGGCAAAACTCGATTAATGTTCTTTTGATGTGCAACCATCAATCCCTGCTGCCAGATCGAGATATAGTTGACACTTTTGGGGTATCCAGCCAGAATATAGTTTAATTACCCATTTACACACAACTTTGCCCACAATAGATCTTCCTTATATTTCATCCGTATTAATGGATTTGCACATCTCATAATACTGCCAGGGTTCCAAGAGGGCAGGGGCCACTTCATTAAACCAACACAAGAAATTATTCAATATCCACCCTGACTGTCTTCATGCGTGTGCACATGTGAGTGAGCGACTTGTAAATCTATTATACAATCAGATTATCTAGATGAGTAACAAGTCTGGAAACAAAGTCAAAAATGCTTTGTTGGTAAAAATCTTTTGAACTACAACACAACAAATGGAGTGTCATGGCTCAGTGAAGGCTTTCAAAGTTTGCAACACCCAGATAAAAACAGCACAAAAGATCAGCGAACATGCAGCATTTCAAATAAAACTGCCTTCACCCATATCCTTATTTCTGGAGCCTATCTACATGATAATTTACAGTCAGCTAAAAATTATCATTTCCTAACTTTTTACAGAAAGAATTTTTTACTGATTAACATTCATTAGATTTT